AACTTTTTTTTGTCAAGCCAAAATAGTTAAGTTCCTCTAAGGGTCAAAAATTCAAAATTTCACATTTGATCTTTGACTTAGGTGTAAAAATCTATCACTATCTAATTTTGTAATTTTATCTAAAATACTTTTTGAAATACCTATACCTATTGGCAAGAACTAGGAAAATTTTGCTCTTAATTAATAAAAATGTTTTGTAATTTACAACAAACTACGATAAGTAGATTTATTATTTAGAATTTCTAACATTTAATCATCAATGTTTGAAAAAATTGTAAGTAAAATCTCCAAAAACTCTCCAAAACTATTAAAGAAATTTAAAAATTCTCCCATTTTTTGAAGTTTCTTTAAAACACAACAAAATCTATACGTTTCATAATATGTAAATTATCAGAAATTTTTTAGACAAATTTTGTCAAAAATGACAAAAGTTCTACTGTTTTTTTTTTCTAGTGTTTATTCTTCACTTGAATGATCGATTTTTCTTGTTTATATAATATTTTCTGCTAAATTTCTAAAAGTTGAAAATTGTCAATTATTTGTCAAAATTCGTCACAGTAAAACAATTAAAAAAATACTGAAAAAAACAAAATAAAAACTTGTTTAATTTATTTTCCACAAATGTGCCAAAATTTGGATTTACAGCATCGAAAAAAAGCAAAGAAGTTAATTTATCAGTCCCAAACATCAATTTATGCAAAATAGCCGTGTTTAATATCTGAAACTGAGTTTTATTTTCCTAGTTTCTAGTAGAGATAATAAGCCAAAGGTCAAAATTTGATAAATGCGATGTTTGTAAGAATTCGTAGAACGGTTTAAATAAACCCAAAAATTTCCCTTGCAAATTGGAAATTACGATCACTGATCGTTTCTCCCGCCTTGGTCGCCTCGTCCCATTGTCCCTCCCATAAACCCGTTAAATTCAGCCGCGATTATCCCAGCAAAGAGGCCGCCTATTATCCCCAGGTCTCTTCTCATTATTCCACTGACAATACCCCATCCCTGTACTTATCGTGCATTAGACACACCGTTTGAAAAACATCTTGCGGTAGCCCATGTTTATACCTCTCCATAAACCATCCCATTGTGTTGGCAAGAAAGGCCTACCATTGTGCCCCTGTCAAATTTCTCCTTTGTCCACCTGTTTCGTGGTGGCGAATTTCAGCCGTGACCACCTACCGCTCCACTAGAACAAAACCCAATTTACCCCCTGGACGTTTTTAAATCACTCGGTATAATTTTCCAGCGAACACAATATTTCGTTTAGTTTTTTGTCCCACTGTCAACAGAAATCTCTAAGTAGGCTTCGCAATGGTTAATACGAGGGTAAATATTTGTTTAAAGAGCTTTTGGCTCGCCGCCATATTTGAACAGTCATGTTTACATACGAATCAATTTAGAAGCGAGATCGAACGTTTTACTTCATATAAAATACATAAACAGACTGGTGAAACAAAAATTATAGGATGCTTTGAAATGGTAAATAGGTGTGAAAAGTGCGATATTATAAGAAGATAACAGTAACAAGGTGACGTTAAGCCAAGGTTAACAGCCGTTGCACTTAACCTTTGTGATGTAAAGCGAGCTGACCTTTACTTCATCGCGTTGGTTTAGACGGGAATCGTGTGAATTCGGTAAACTTAACCCCCGGGGGATTTAATGAAATTAAAATGTTTACTTTGCGAAACTGGAGGTGGAGAGTCAGAGAAATTCACAATTTACTCATTAATTAACTATATTATTAATGATGAACAAAAACACGATTAGCCCGTCACACCAAACTTTTATTTTAATAGCACAACGCGTTTCGACCACAAAGTGGTCATCCTCAGGTGAGAATAAAACTCAATTTATTAATAAAAAAATAAAACCAAATTAAATAGAAGCCAGTTTTTTTAATAAGTTTTTTTTTTACATTTTTACGTTACATAATACGCAGTATCACTTTAGTTAACCTAGTGTGTAAATATTTTTTTTTTACTATCTACTTTATATTTTTTCTTCTTCTATCAATTTGAAGTTTCCACAACCTTTTTTTTTTAATTTTTGAGTTCCATATTTACATGTCATGATTTCTAGTAAGTTTCAAACGTTTCGTACATTTTTTAGTCTATAAAATGTTACAGGAACTCATAAAAAAGTTTTTTTTTTAGTTGTTTTTCAAAATTTTTACTAGTGTATTTAAGAATTTTTGGTGTTTTTTTAATTTACCATTTAACCAATGGCAATGTTAAAATATTCAAAAATGTGTTACAATTTCTTGTGAAATAGCAAATGATTTTGAGAATTTGACTTTTTGGGATTTTTAAACCATTTTCTGAAATTTCTAAGTCATTCTAAAAATTTTATATAATTGTTAAAGGTTTTTTATTTATACTTGTAATTTCTTATTCACAGTTTGTCTATATTTTTTTTTAAATTAGGTGTATTTTTGAAAATGCATCAAACAATACACATAATTTTTAATAATTTTAACAATCTATATGCCATAATGTTGGTTAAAGTGGGCTGTGACTAAAATCAAAATTTTTAGTAAGTTTTAAACATTTCGTACATTTTTTAGTCTATAAAATTTTATGAGGTCTCATAAAAAAGCTTTTTTTTTAAATTGTAAAATTTTGTTTCATCATGTTGTTTTTCAAAATTTTTACTCGGGGTATTTAAGAATTTTTGGTGATTTAACCATTTGACACTTTTAAAATATATTCAAAAATGTGTTACAATTTGTTGTGAAATACAAAGCATTTAAATAGTAAATTATTGAAAATTTGATTTCCAAGTCATTACTATAATTTTTATTTTCTAAAGATCTTTTTAGACAT